GGATGTACTTCTTAAACTAAACCACCCGGATCATATTTCATTTTCTCACTGGTACCTGCAGCAACGCAGCCCCTTGTGATTTTTTAACAGAGAGCTATTTTTGGTCTGAACACGGCCTTACTTGTCAGACCTGGAGATACAGTACACCAGAGCCAAGGTCATTTATAAACCGCACAAATTATAAATATGGATATCATGGCCCCAACCTGGCAGTCATCCATCATCTCTCACACTGTACATGCTGCTAATCAATGTCAGATGATGAATCAGGTACAGTATCTCACATAGACCGAATATGGTCACTTGGCCACCGACAGCCGCAAGAGGAGTTAATGCACATCTCAGAGATGATATTATGTTCACTTTTTGTACACAGTCATCACGTTGTTCTTCAGTCATCATAAAATCTTAATAACTGATGTTATGATGAACATGATACATGTAAACATGTACTAAGCTTGCCATAGCGTCGCTGTTTAAAGAAAACTACATATTTCCTTTCGGCTAGTTTGAGATTTTAAGAGATACTGAAAGATAAGGTGTTTTATGGTTTGTAAGAAGGGCTTCGAACGTTTAAAGAAATACCAAAAATACTGCGACAACACCAGCAGAACCACCCTGTATGAGTGCAATATTATTAAGTTGCATTCTTCCTCTTTTCTATCCTTTCCCCTCCCTTCTCAAAAGCTTTGTGATTGTCTTGCCCTGTTACAGACCCTGCATTCAACAGAGGGTGTAATCTCCTTGTTGCTGAGCATGTATTTGAATTTCTGCTTAACCTCTGAACAACAGACCTCTGTCACACCAGCTAAGGTATGCACATGCATACATTCACCTACAAAACCTCGTCTTTCTGCCGTTAAAGTAATAAAGAGCTACTCTGTCGCCGGCAGGTGAATACTAAGAGGAGGCAAGCTCAAGGTTTTTTGTCTGTACAAATGCTGCAAAGACTGCAACAAGTTTCCAGACGGCACTGCAGTACAACAGAAGCGCACATCAAAAGCAGGGAGACTACACACTGTGACTCAGACAGCAGGGTTCATACACAGATTAGACAAACTATGCAGACGGCTGCATCAGTTACAGTCAGCTATCCATTCACGGGCTGTCTTCACTGATGACCAGATTATAGCGCGCAGGACACTTTGAAAGGCACATGGGCGGCTTGTTGAAGGTCAGCGCTGATAAAAGCAGATACTAAGACAGGGCCAAAAGGACCAGACACAGTGATTCACGCCTCACATTTTTGGAGGCCAAGTCTGGTGGAGCGGCCAAACAGAGACAAAATTACACCAAAGACCCAAAACCATGGGTACAGCCTTTGACTTACAGACAAAGACAACTTATCAGTATGGAGCGTTTATGTTATATGGACTTTGCCCACTTAAGTCAACACATACATACACGGCGTTACATAGGCAGTAAGATCTGGAGCCTGAGCAGTATCAGCACACTTTTTCCTCTGCAACATTAAATAAACTCAACTATTCTGCTTCGTCGGGACCATGTGGGTGTGATCCCATTTGATTGACAGGTGCCTGGAAACATAAACAAAACATCCAACCAGCTGGCAGATTCAGATTTTAATTCAAATGTACCAAAATTCAGATTATTGTACAGAAGTACAGGACATGACAGAACCCTTTTTTTCAGTCATTAAAAAAGGAAACAATAAAAGTTTTTCAATGTTTTGCACGAGGCACCAATGTAGGAGCCTGCTGCACTTTGAGGTAGGGCTGTCACTTTTTATTGAAAATTCAAACTCCTATTCGAACATGTAAAAACATTTAATATTTGAGCTGTAATAACCTGTTTGAAATCAAAATTTCCAGTCTGTAAGAGCAACAGCCCGTTTAAAAGTAGTTTGCCTTGTGGTCCAGCAGAGGGCGCGATCAACTTGACCTATCAGTAAAATAAATGAATAAATAATAATATAGCGGGACACTAGTAAGAAAAGCTGCACTGAATGGACAATCACAACACTGAAGCATCTGAGAAGCAGTGTCTGGAAATTTCTATTTTACACCACAGATGGCAAAATGACCAATAAAACTATTTGCCGACTTGGTAAAAAGCAGCTGCCATACGCTGCAAGCACATACAGATATAAAGTAGTAGGCAGTTTCTGGCCTCTAATAACTCTGAAGCTCTGTGGGTATGTTACAATGTGAGTATGATACTTCACATGAGGAAGTAGTTCATTATCTGTTGCACAGTCTGTTTCCCTGAGTACAGAATACCTCCACAGCCTTATTTACACTTTGCGGTTTGTGCTGTTGAAACTTTTTTAGTCCAACAATGATGCCCAAGCAGGCAAGACTGATTGGCACTGTGGTGTCTGTCCTGGAAGCAATCCCCACTCCATTAGTGGAGCGGAGTAGTAAACAACTCTGTGTTTTTGTTTCTACAGGTATTAAAACGAGCACAATTGGCTCTCGCCTATTTGTTACTCACATTGTGTCAGAGGATATTTGTATAAAGTTGAGCTTTTCTCAACTTCCCCTGCAGTGCAGCTGGGTTGCCTTTTAAATCTCTATTGCTCAGGGGGCAACAGCAGGTCCCGTTCACAATAAATACCAGCCTGTCGCTGTCCCAACGTTTGAGCCCGTATTTGTGAACGGCCCACAATTCTAGCAGGTCTCTCCTGCTAGTCTGCCACCCAAGTGAGATTAAGCTATATTGGTTGCTTTTGAATTAACGCAGTGAACCCATCAGAGAACAGTTCCATGAATTGTGAATTTTGTTTTGTGGGGAAAAGAACATGTGGTTATATAGTTGGCAGCTTAGAGATTCCTTTAAAACACCATGCATCTCAAGTGTGGTCACTTAATTTTTAAAAGGACATCTCAGCAGATTTAGTGTGAGGTAAGAAATAAAAAAAACAACAACCACACCTGAACCTCAAGAGGGGGTTACCCAGATGGTTTATACAGATTCAAGTCTATTGAATGTGTCCATCAGTGTTGAATTATGTGTCAAAATTTGTGCGCAATGCAGCACAACTGAGATCAATCATTTACGGTGTTTAGAAGCTGTGACACTTTCCTAAACAAAAGCTCCAATCGAACAGTGTGGGAAATGTCCATGCCTTCAGGCAGCCCTGCGGCAGGTGGGAGCACATCGCCATCCAGTATGCTCTGTATGTAAAGCACCACAACAGTATCACACCCCGTGCTTGAACCTAAGCGGTATTTAGATCAGGCTTCAGTTCACCGATCACGTGTAATGTCAAAATGCAAACACCGCTCTGCCATTAATTATCAGAGAAAAGCTGTTTGAACAGAAGGTTATCGCAATTTTAAAATATACATACATTTTAGAATAGTTGAAGAAATCTGAGGTACTCAAGATGGTGGTGATAAAAAGCATTAGGGCTGAAAGGTATAGGCATGTGTTTAACGGTTACTAAGACTAAATAGCTATGAGATATTAAAGGCTTTTTAAATCCCAACCATCTTGAGTGCATCTTGAGTATACATTTTCCAATATGTTGTCGCAATATTATTGGAACACATTATATAAAAATGCATAACATTTTTAGAAGAGAACAATAGGAGGGCACAGCTAGCTATATTTCACTCAAAGTAGTAGTAGTTTCAACAAAATAATCACAGCATTTGTTATGAGTCTCCACTGAAATCAGGGATAAACAGAAGTGTTTGGCTGATCTGGGTGCTGGGTAGCTTGCTGACTGGATCTGTGTGCTCCCTGGAATGGGCCTGCTTCTCAGAATAGCCAACAGCAGATGCCTTCCTCCCCTCTGTGTTATTTGGAGCCCAAGGGCAATGGAATCTAAACTCCTGCAGTGTACTCTGGTGTGGTCCTTACTTCAGGACAGAGAGAAGGGCTTGAAGTCCAGTGGACGGAAGCAGCCGCCTTTCAATCATTGACTCATGTCGGAAGTCTGTGTTCAACAAATTTGCTCAAATGCACCAATGTTATGCGATGACTTTGTTGCAAGCAAAGTATGGTTGGAGAGTTAAAACATGAACACTCCCCAGCAACCTGTTTGATTAACACATATGTTCAGTCTCTAAAGTAGGGCTACAACTAACGGTATTTTTTATTATAGTGAAAATACACAATCACAATGTCCTAAAGTGCAATATGATGTCTTCAAATGTCTTTCTTCTGACATACAGTCTAAAACCCAACAATATGGAGTTTACAACAAGCCTGTGGATAGAGAAATGAGAAATTAACCAGCAGTATGATTTTCTAGTTTTTCAGGGATAATACTGAAGCTTCACAGTAACTTCACTCCAGGTTGTTACAATGTATTGCATCAGTAATGGGAGAAAGCTAAAAACTTCAAAAGATTAATTAACTTCTTGTCCTGTCAAACACAATATTCGATGTTTGGCTATCCCCCCCCCCCAAAAGAAGCAGAAAAAATGGTTAAAAGGACCGAGTGACTGTGCAGCATGATACTGTCAGGGGGAGCGTTACTTTTATCTACAGAGACCAACATTACAAAAGACAGCCGCTCCTCCAGGGCAGGTAGCTTATCTGAAGTGAAACGCTGACTGCTACTGAACAATGAAGAAGAATGAAGAAGCAACATAGAGATCTGCATGTATTTACAAGACTTTTAGTATTTTATTCAGGCGTTTGTTGGCTTTCACAAATATAGTTTTCCTGTGGTGGTTGCTGTTCATGTTCCTGCTGTGGCTATGTTTCATTTGCACTCTTATTCTAAAATCTATGTTGCTTGTGTAATAGTTTTTTCAGCTAATATTCCTTTCAGGTTACTCAGTTTACTGATAAAGGATAACACTGTTTTGTTATTTCTTTTGACAAGCTACTCAATTCTAGCACTCAAATGGCATTGTAGTATTTACAAATGTGCACAAATAATCACAAAACACCGACTGGTTGTGTCAACAGGTTGCATCTGTGCAAAACAACTAAAGATATGAGACACAAAAGAAAAAGCAGCGAAGGCAGGGTGATTACTGTGAAGCTAAACTTAACTAAGCACAATCCAAACATTGAATTACCTGAAGCGCTTTCAAGGTTTTGGGGATGGAAAACAGTTGGTTCTGAAATATGAATAGAAAAGACAAATAACACTTGAGCCGCAGATCATCTGACACGGTAGTAGCAGGATCAGGAGCAGTATCATGTCGCCCTAGATGTCACGTAACAGGCAGGGGGTAGACAACGTGAATTGAAAGTGAATACGAATGTCCTCAGTGTATCCAGGCATATGTTCTCAAAAATAGATGATAAAAAAAAAAAAAAAAATAGTACAATCAAATAGTGACAGATGGCTTCTTGGTACTACACGTGTCATTATGGGTTAGCATCATAGCATGATTCATAATTAACATAAAAGCAGTATAAAATCTTACTAATTAACTGAGAAATCTCTTTTTTAAATACAGCATCCTGTCTTCGCCAGCTGACAGTCAGAACTGAAGTAACAGGGGAAAGACATGCAACAAGCGTCCCTGCATGGACACATATGGATGTCAGACCGATGGGCTTTAAGTGTAACTGCAGTTCAGTCTTATACTGACAGACTGGAAAAAGCCAACAAATGAATCTAACAAACCTTAACCAGATAAAAAAAAATTTAAAAAAGGATTACAGTAGTATGTGGCACTAATAAACGTGTCTATAGACAAACCAACAGGTCACCCAGAGGCTGTAGTCAAACTCGCTGAAGAAAGTTGCAACACACCAACACCACCTGCTCAAGCAGCATATGCATCTTGCTGATAGTTGTTGATACAGACATAGCTGCTATGGGCAAGTCCAGATCACCTTACTCAACAGGCCTGCAGCGCAGGGTGCGGTGGGTGAGGAAAGTAATACTGCAACTAAAATGTCCTGCTGTGAATGTTTATATATCTTGATCGCTATCTCCTGCAACAGCTGGATGCCCATTCTGGCTGCCGGAAATACAGTGGCTGCCCCTGGGCACTTTTTAATTAGAAATTTAACCCAAGACTATTTTTATCAGGACAATATGATAAGTTTTAAGACCAATGTAGATCTCTCTAGTTATAGATGTGAGAAACTGCCTCATAGAAAGCTCCCACGTCCATAGCCAAATTATTATTTTAACTAGAATAAGTTACTGGAATAAAAGAAAAAAAAGTATTCCAATAGTAACCATACAAGCAAGAATATAGAAAGTTGACGAATACAAAATATGTATTTCATAGTATGGCTTGTTCTATCTGAAGACATTTTCAGTTTCAGGCGGCTTATTGAGTTGTACCATACTGCAGAGACCGTGGGAAATCCCAGCTATGCCATTCGCTGGAGACAGCTGCCACATACACAGCAGAGCCTACGTTGCTTCCTGCTCTGGACCAACAACCTCATGGACTGGTTTTGTGGGACCTTCCATTGAGATAATCCTAACAGCTAACAGACTCTGTAAACCACCTTCAAGCTAAAGTTCCTTTTCTTCAGTCTAGAGCTTCATGACTGAGGATGAAACTATACTGTAAAGTATGTTAACCTTGATGAGTGTGGGGCCTGTCATTTAAAATATTATTAGGTATGTTACAAATGAGTCAGTGTCTCTGCTACCATCATATTACCACATAAATTGACAAGAGTCTACAGCTGCCATGCTAGAGGCTCTATGGGGCGGAACTGCATGCTTACGGTATCAGCATGCTTACATGCTCACTATTGACTGATAAAAGATGGACGACATGACAGCTCCCCAAAAATGAAGCCAAAACACCCTGATCGCCCCCTGGTGGCTGGCTGCATTTTAGGTCGTAAACCCCACCCTTCCTATGTCAGCGGATGAGAAATAGGCCAAACTAAAAAACCTAAGTACACATCAAATAAATTCTTTCTAAAGATGGTTTCCATCATTTCAGATAGTTCTTATCACACTGACGCATGTTGCATGATGCAAGTGTTAAATATGTTAATAAATGTTATTTCATGCTATAAAAAGGGTGTTGAGATACATAACATCGTGTCAAAGGAAGTGTAACACAATGGCTCACTCTTTGTCGACCTTTCTTTCTCACCTTGCAACGATTTGACTGGACAATTTAAAGCCTGTGCCTGGGTAAACTAAAGACGTCTCATGCTGCAAGTCTGTCTCAGCATATCACTTGAACCTACTGTTTAACTACTGCATTAACACCACAAATTTAAACTAAATCACCATAATAGAGGCTTTGTCTCAAAAAGCAGCCAGCTTTGATCAGAGAAAACCAAGAAAGGAAAAAGCACAAGCTGACACTCCCTAGTCACTGTGACATCTCTTATTTCTATTTTATTATTATTATTATTATTTCTATTTTGACTGATTTGAGGTTGGTATTTTTAACTGTCTATTTTTCTAAACACTGATGACATTAAGGAAACGCTGTCAGCACCACAGTAATTCAGAGGTGAAATGCAGCCGTACAAAAACAGCTGGCATCCCTTTGCTAAGATGTTCTCAGTTTAATGTTTAAACTTGTTTAAAATGTATTTGTCAAATTACTTGTAATCAAAGTACTTGCTAAATTTGGTTAGTAAGTATACAATCCTTGCTAACAGCTGGGGAGACCAAAATACTTCGTGCTTTTACATTTAAATTCACCAAAACTAAAATCTACTTGAGTGAATGTTGGTTTGTTTTGTATGTGGAAAATAAATCATCTGCAGTCAACCAGGCAACCTAATGTGCTGTCAAAGAGGAAGAAATTACTAATGTCACGGTTAGAGAGCGCTGATATTTTGGAGCTCCTTCTGCCTTCAACTGACATATTAGAAGAATTATCTTTAAGCATTAGCATTATATTCTAATGCAACCATACCATTAATAAAACAGCCAAGTCAAAATTTGCTAAAGCTGGAATGAACAATTGATTTACATTAAATCACCATCCATTATAAGTCAGACGGTTACAACTCCTTCACTTTATTTCATTTGCATACGGTGTATAAACGCCTTTAAGGCAATCTATAATTAACCAAATTATTGATGAATCTAAATATTTAAGATATTTGCATAATATTTACCATACAAATTCTAATAATTATGACACGAACAACAACAGAAGAATGCATTTTGTCTATTTTCTCCCCAAATAATGCATATATCCCTTCATCTAAAAACATAACCTAAAAATAGGCTCATTGGCGACGGCCTTTTTAAGGTTATATGTTGGTGTGCGCCATCTGCCATGGGTGGAGCTATGGCAAGCGAACTTTCTAGCTATGAGCGTGTAGAAACTACTTAAGTACATCTGACAAAAGAACTTATCTATCTCATATTACAACAAGTACCCTAATTTATTCTTAAAATTTCAATTCATATTCAAGTTCAAAGAAGTCATTAACTCTGCTCAATTGTCAGCTCTTGTCTTTTTATTCTCAAAACAAAACAAGAGCTGACTGCAAATTTTTAGTGGGGGTCTAACTTTACATTAACTTGACTGATTTTTTTTTATTCAGCATAACTCAAAAAAAGTTAATTCTGTGGTAAATGTCCAAAAGTAACAAAGAATTTTTTTTATAAAAACAGAAATGAAAGTAACCAAGTAGCTTAAATTTTGATTTGCCATTTTGATCAACAGCAACAACAACCGAGGTGAAGGGGGGTGAGAGTGTAGGATAACCTTTGACATTTTCAGGTTCTGTGACTTAATCGAACCCAAACCATATGACTGGCCTAATACATACAATACTCACCCGCTTGCGACAGAAGGGCAAACCCTGAGCAATGATGTTGATGCTAAATATCTTGAGTACTTTCTGAGGGTATAACGGTTCCGTGGCAACGTCCTTTGGGTCTGCCAGGTCCAGTGGCTTGCTCTCAAGCGGGACGTGCAAAGTCTTCTCTTTCCCACAGGCAACATTTGGCATCTTTCTCCGAGCACCAGACGAGAAACGGGGAATAGGGCAATGCCGCAGCATTGCAAAAAAGGTCTAATGGATCATATCCCAGAAGGAGCTTTAAAAGCTGGGCGACTATTGTTGCAAGCAGATAACTTTTCCTAACTGAATTTATCTTCCTTGTGTGACCTTATCAATACATTGCTCACTGAGTCTCTGCACCTACCTACTCTGAACTCATCTCCCTGCTGACTGGCACCCTTTAAAATATCTCTGGGGTGTGAGGTCACTGCTGCGACCAAGCCAGGCAGAGCAGCTGCAGTCAGGGCCTGAAAAGAGGATGGACCAACTCAGCCTCTCCCCTCTCAGACAGGCACCGTGGAATCTGCTCTCATGACCCCTCGTTGGTGGAATGTGTACCAGCAGTCGTCCGACGCAGCACACGTGTCCAGGGAGCTTCCTCATTGTGGTCATTCTCTGACCCCCCTCTGGTCCTCCCAACTTAGTGGCCTACATCATCACTGAGTTCAGTGAACTTTACCCCATGAAAACTGTCAGCATACAACAGAACAACAGATTACTATATCCTTGTCTCAACCACATTTGTCAATGCAAGTGTTGAAGGTAGGATTTGTTATATGCTAACTTTCTCTGCCTCTTCCATGAACCAAGGTGTTCAGGAATGTCAGTAACTGTCTGTGTCAGCAAAGAGGCTGAGGATATTTCAGGAGACGATCACACAGTAGTTCAATGTTAGTATGTGTGACACACGCACTTAAACAGGGATTCACTTGACCAAGTGTCAAGAGGGATGGACTTTTAGGTCTGTTCAAGTGTGTTTAAGAGAGAAGGAGCAGCAGTATATCTGTCTTTTTCAATGAAACCCTGTTACACAACAAGGTGCTAACATCAGAGGTATGAAGGTGTGTAGATGCAACAAGTGTTACAACAGCAGGGCACTGAAAAAATGTTATATATGGCATATATGCAGATTCCCACAGTGAATGAATATGCAGCAGAAAACAGCTGACGATAAAATATGTATAAATCTACAGACTGAGCGAATGGCAAGCGACAACCTTCCCTGTGTGTCTGAACACATGGTAACAGAAAGACCTACAGGGCTTAAACTCGCTTCTATTCTCACATCCACCATTGTTTGAGGAGGATTACAGTGCCAGAACATCTATCAGAGTAGACTGAGGGCCCTGACACACCAGGCTAGCAGTTGGACACC